TCTCCTGTGCATCGTTAGGCAGCTGTACTCATGTAATGACTTCAAAATTAAGTCACTTGGGCTATTATCGCACTGATTAGTTTCAAAAGAATGTGATGTGGAAGATTAAGTTTAATGCCCCTTCACGAAGCCATTATCAATCTCCCAGAATGAGCATGAGGATAGTAAAACCAATGTGTTGCTGTTCAGGCATGTCTACTACTGAAGAGAATGAAAAATCTGCTCAGAAAATTATATATATATAAAAAAAAATCTTCATCTTATGGTTTATTTTAATTTATTTTTATATTTAATCTATTTTTGTTGTTTCTGTCTGGCAACTTAAAAAAAATCTGGGGCAGTTATTTAGGTAATATAATGCTGTAAGTAAACAACAAAATATCCCGTCTTCATGGTTCATACAGTCTTCCTTCCTTCTAACCCTGTAGTTTGGAGCTCTGCAGACAGTTCTGACATAGATGTGATTCATACAAGCAAACTACTACTTGTCAGAAAGATTATAATCCCTATTTGTTAAGACCTATACTAAGCTAGAAAAAGTTGTTTAAAGAAATAAATCAAGCTTAACCCACACTGACAAAATGTTGTGTTCTTGTGACAAAAGCTCAATGTTGGTTCCTCCCCTTTCTTGTTAAAATGACACAGAGCAGAAGACGGGCTGTGCAGGCCTTTGTCTGACTCACACTTTTGATTAAGTTTCCACCTCACAAACATCCACCTTTCACACCGAGACAATGCCTTTTTCCTCAAATGTAGTTCCTGACAAGAGACACACAATTACCCCAATCCTCCTCCACTCCAAATACTACTCCAACTCAGACATGAAATGAGTGCCCATCGCAAAATACAAATGTTATCCAAAATAAAATAAACTAACTTGTAGCTACTGGATGTTAACAGACATTTTAATATTTTAATACAAATGAAGCACATTTTTGGAACACATTGCAAACGTTTGCAATTGGGTAAATGTACTGTTATACACATTACAGACTGGTTCATCTTTTATACCAAGGGTCCCAGGCATTTTGATTGACATAAGCAATTGTTCTTTTTTTTTTTTTTTTTTACAATTAAAAGCAAAGCATTTGGATGTTTTAATTTATAGCACAATTTGTTGCCTATGTTCCATTATGACTGAGAGATTGTAGGGAGTCATTAATAATAGTTGAGCAAATTAAACAATAAAGATTTTGTACACATGACTACAAATACAAGCTTGTATAAAATGCATTTGTGGGGTCACTGTTACTACAGGTTATTACCTTGTACACTGTACAATACACATATACTTAATAAGGTACATTGCATGTCAACTGTACTGTAAAATACATTTTGGGACCGCTTTGTATTAGTAATATTAACATTATTAACCTTATTAAAGCATTAACTTAGACTTAAGTCATAATGAACAAATAGTTTATTAAGAAGGATTCATACTTAGTAACTCTTAGTAACTACTTCAAGGGGTTAGGGTTGGAAGTTAGACTTAGGGTTGCCCAAGTAGCCTGAAAAAGCCTGAATCGTTCTTAATAAACTACTTGTTTATTTTGAATTAAGTCTGTGTTCATGCTTAATTAAGGCTAGTTTTATAAGTGTTTAAGTTTGCAAGACAACTGCAATGCAAAGAATGAAATGATAAAGACTAAATTCATAGACAGAAGTGTAAGGCATCCAAAAGGTGATTCATTCATTCTTATTGTTTACGATGAAAAACGAAGGCCGTTGGAAACACTACAGGTAACGCACTTGGTTCTTACAACACTCGGGATGGCAGAAACAAAAGCCCGTAGTTCAGCTTTAAGTACTTTACGAGATGCTTCTTTGCACAGGGAAATGGAGCGAGTAGCCATGGGAATCCTAGGCCTTTCTCTGCTTGGACCAACGCGATTGTTTATTTTCTCCCACTGAAGCTGTGTCCATTCACTGAGACAGCACTTACTCTGCACTCTCACACTGACAGAGCAACAACAAGAATGCACTAGAAATCATTAAAAAGCGTTACATAATTGAGAGGATGAGAAATGGTGGAACAAATGAATTATCTGCTACAGTATACACCAATTAACCACGAGATGATGTCGTTGAAAACTTCGGGAAATTAACAATGCCAAGAAGTGAATCAAATAAGTAAATAAATAAGGAAGTAAAGGTTATTTATTAAAACCTATTCTTCAGGAAGGTCCCTTTAAGATTTTCTTTTCTCATCCTCCCTTCTGAAGGAGTCCTGGTGTGAGTGACCAACTTTTTAAAACTCACATCGCATGCACTGGGCCCTGTCTCACTATTTTGTATTTATTTATTTAATTCGCAACACAGTTACAAAACGCATACACATAACAATCCAAAAACAAGAGGATCACAGATTAGGAAAAACAAGTGCACATTGTTTGTCCTGGCACAGTGTATAATTTGAAGCAATTATACACTGTGCCAGGACACTGTGCCACTTGGACCTCAAATATGAAACTAGTTATCATAATTATTATTTTCTTGTTTTTTCTCAGTTTCCCAATCATTTACAGCAAGGAACCAAATTACAATGTTTTTTTGTCTTTCCAAATGCCACCAAACTAGATGAGTTGAAAGAGACTACATTTACATTAAGGTCAAACAGTGGCCTAAACCTGGTTGAAATAATCATGACTATCAAGAGGAAAAAATAAAAGATGGCAACAAATTTGACCAAACTGAACTCGGTGAGGTATAAAACTGCAACAAGTCCTGTGTGCCACCAGCAGTACTTGTACCAGTTTGATAACCATGTGTATAGTTATATAATTAGATCCCCACCAGCAAATCTTCCTGAGCTCATTTAAAATTACAAATACTGCAATTCATTATTATAATTATGTTATCGTAATTTACCATCATTGAAATAATAACAAGTACATACAAGTACAGACAAGCTTGCTATTTACTTTCAGGTTATATAAGTTTCAGGAAATGCAATCAAAACTCATGTGTTCATTTCCCAATAGTGGTATTACTTTTTTGCCATACTGCCCCCTCCTTGTTGAGTAATTTTTCAAAAAAGACAGTCTAGTGTATAGTCTCTGCCTGTGACCCCTGTTTAACATCTGATGAACACTCATAGTTAGTCGGTAGTTGAGTTGGCACATTTTCACTTGTGTCTTTATCTGTGTGAATGTAAAGCCTCTGCCAGTCACTGAGAGGGCATAGGACCATAATGTAGGAGTGTTGACAGAATGACACATTTCACCTTTTTGTTCCACACTGAGAAGGTCAGAAGTTCAGCTGGTAAAGATGATCACCGATCTTCAATATACACTGAGCACGTGGGATGATTTATCTAAATGTGAAAGAAATAGGATTCAAACTAACAACAATCAATCTCTGTGTTCATAATGGCCTCAAAAATGACATATCAACATTATTAAAAGTCATATTTTTAATTTTTTCATAAGAAAACAGAAAATAAAAATGAAAATATGAAGTTAATATGATTTTTATTTTATTTTTTATTTTTGCAACATTGACAAGGTGTGCCAACTTTGGTGTCTGAAATCAAACTTCTGTACTTCTGAGTTTAGTTTAACATTTATTTGGAAAGTACCTTGTGTCTATAACCTCTGCTCATACTTCGAAGGGCTCGATAAGACTTTATGTGAAAAAAAAAAGAACTGTTATCATCAAAGAAACCTCAGCCACTTCCGCAGTTTGTACTTGGCTGAATAAGCAGAAGGGCAAAATTTACTGAGGGAGAGGTGAGTCTGAACTGCCCCCTGCTGGACCAACTCTTCAGCTGCATTTTACATGAAACGCTCAAACTGTGGCGTACGAGAGATTGACACAGAACATTTCCTCAATTGTAATAAAAAATGTACAAAAGTATTAATGTCATATATATACTAGTATTATTAATAACATTTCCAAATCAATATGCTTAATAAATAAAAGGCTTTTAAATATCTGGGGCATGGTGAAATTGAAAACTCTAATTATTAAGATGAATATGATTAATAAGATCAAATGATAAAATGATAAATAGATAACTAATAATAAAAAAATAAAACTAAAGCCAATTCAGGATCTCCCTACACTGACTTGACCACTGAAACTTTAGTTTTTTGTGAAATCTGTTACAGCTGTGTCCCCTTTGCAATTTGTCTCTCGTTGAGCTTCCTGTCTGATTACTGGAAGGAAAATCACTGATTTGAAGTAAGTTTCAATTATTTATTGCTGACATGTTTCAGCTGCTACCTGCAAGTCATCTTCTGAACTGTCTGTACATACAATTTACTGTATTGTCTTGAAAAAAGAACCCAAGAAGTTAGAGTGCATGAGAAGACAACATGAACATCTTTGGTTTATTTACATTATAATTGGGTTATTTACATTATAATTATTACTAGAACTAGAAATGCATTTATTTCTGGCTGACTCTTGCATCAATTAGATTTTATATATACACACACACACACACACACACACATATATATATATATATATATATATATATATATATATATATATATATATATATATATATATATATATATATATATATATATACACACACACATATATATATGTAGTGTGGTGTATTTTGCAGTGGGGTTTCTGTTTCGGTTGCATGGTCATATAAGTTCAGTTTTAAAATTAAAACTATATTATCACTGCATATGATAGATTTTCCATAGAACAAAGAATAATCCACTTTCAGGGACCATTTTAAAAGGCATGTTATAGACAGTACATTGAGGAAAAATTATTTTGTAGTTTTTCAAATAAAATGATATGATAATAAATATATCAGGTGATCTCAATTATGCAGTTCAACTAAGATAATTCTTTCAGTACAATTGCAGTATCTCCTTCAACTATAATTTAATATATTGCTATGTTATATATTATTTTGTTTTTCCAATCAAAATCTGCATTGCTAACATTTTTTTCAGTTATATGAGAAGTCACTTGATCAGAGGTGATATTTTTCATCTTCTGTTTTCCTCTGTGGTTTGTCTGTGATATCACAGCGAAGCACTCTGGCATGGTTCAGAAAGCCACAACAGAAACAGCAGCTGCTTCACTTCACTCTCTCCACACCTCTCCTACAATGGCCCCATATGATGAAGATGAATATTACAACTACTACTACAACTACTCTGAAAACTTCACCTACGCGTCTCTCGATGTCAACCTGCCTCAAGACTGCCCAAGTTCACAATCAAATGATGTAGGCATCTTTTTAACCACCCTGTATTTTTTGATATTCGTCTCAGGATTTTTTGGTAATCTTTTTGTCATTTGCGTGGTGGGCACCAGGGGCAGGAGAGGTGGGCGCTTGGTGGATACGTTCATTATCAATCTGGCTCTGGCCGATCTGATTTTTGTCCTCACGCTGCCTCTGTGGGCCATATCCACACGAAGAAATAACCTGTGGCAGTTTGGAAGGAGTGGAGACCTGTTGTGCAAACTGAGCAGCTACATCATCACAGTAAACCGCTACTCAAATGTGTTTTTTCTGACATGCATGAGTGTGGACAGATACGTTGCTGTGGTCAAACTCATGGACTCGAGGCATCTCAGAAGTAGCAGGTGCATCTACGTAACTTGTTTTGTGGTGTGGCTCACCTCATTTCTCCTCGGCATCCCATCTCTGATGTATAGAAAACTTGAATATCGCGGTGAAGACCCTTTCTGCACAGATGAAAAAGATTCTACGTTTTTTATGATCTTAACTCTCTTCATGACATTATTCACATTCATTTTCCCAGTTTTGATCATCGCCTTCAGCTACGGAACCATCGTTGTGCACCTGAACAGACATTGCGTCGCAGCTTCCAATCCCAGAGCAGAAGCCAGACGCAGGCACTCTCTCAAAATGGTCTTGTCTATAATAATTGTGTTCATTTTGTCTTGGCTTCCCTACAACATCTTCAAAACCATAACCACAGTGAAACAACTCACCAACATATATGTGGGATGTGAAAACCTCGGTCTCGTCATCTCCAGTTGTTTGGCTTTCTTCAACAGCTGCGTCAATCCAGTCATTTATTTCTGCCTGGACCACCACTTCAGACAAAGGGCCGGTCTCCTGTTTAAGAGATGCAGGGGGAAAGCGCTGAGTTTACACAGCTACAATTCATCTTCATTCACAAACTTTGGCACCTCGGAGAGCGGGACCACTGCAGGGAGAACACAAATCTTACAAGTCTAGGATTAGACATCTGAAATGTGGGTATGGACAGTGGCATTACTCTATTCATTGTAATTATACAGAAACTCATTGATTATAGGTGGAAGATTTATGAAGAAAAACTGTTTACTTTTAACATGTAAATAGATTTTTTTCTGAGTCAAATCCTTTTTTTTTTTACAGTTTATATAATGGCAGTGCCAATTGTGAAATTGTGCAGTTATTCAAAGGCAAAATTTTGGGGATTAAATTACAATATATGAAAAGGGTTTAAAATATCTTACAGGCTTGTTGTACTTTTTGCTTTTAAAACCCTTCAGTTATTAGCTGTTGTTTTGTTAAATATTTCTGTATTTACAAGTATTTAGTTTACATAATGCCTTTTGATAATTTTTCTTTTTATCTGTAAACAGTTATTGTTGCTTGAATACAGTTTTATACTATGTTGAGATGACTTGATTTTCTATGTTACATTCATTAAATAAAATATTAACAGCATTAGTATGTTTCAATTATTTTAGTTCAGTAAATTAATCTGTAAAATGTGTAAATGGGCTCTAAATGAAAGTTACAAGTATAAAATATAATTTAAGCAGCAATGCAAAACGACCATAAACTTAATCTTTTTTTGAAATATAGTTACTTCTCCATTAGAATAAGGAACCAAGAAAATTAAGTAAATTAATCTAAGTATGTGATTACTTTAGTTTAAAAATTTGGTTTTTAAGGTGTAGTTACATTGCACTATTTTAGAACTGTCATTTCTAGATGTTTTTATATTAGTTTTTCAGCAATTAGTTACAGGTTTAAAACAAAAAAGACAATTTTTTCTTCTCTTGTGACAACCTTTTTTAAACAAAACTGTTGGCTATGTTCCTTTTTTTCCTCTTTTATAGTTCCTCATTTATGAGCATTATATATTTCATCTAAAGCTTCATCTGTCCACAGATCGCATATCACTCTTATTTCTAGGGAAATAAATGAATGTCTGCAGTAGCATTCTGATTCAGACGCGCAGACATAGCCCTGTGTGAGAATTTGCGACATCGACCTTTCACAAGGCGTCTATATTTGAGCAAACAGAGAGTTCAAACGGTCAGTGCTCCCTTCTTCTTGGTACTTGAAGAGGTGGTTTCAGCTGCGCAGTGACAGCCGTGGGCACCGAACTGCAGCAGGGTCCCCTTTAGCACTCAAACAAAAACGTTTAGAAAAGTGAGGAGCTTTCCCACAGACCACTGAAAACATGTGAAGTCATCACCACATATTTAACACATATCATGAGACAAAACACATATGATACTTCAGTATTCCGTACAAACAAGCACTTTACAAGTGATACTATAGTGTATGGGAGTAAAGGGCTGATCATTTTCTTTTCAAGCAGAAATACTTTTTCAATACATCCATTCTTTTTGGGGCAACAACATAATATATAATAAAAGAGTAATTATTACTTTAAATCTAAATGCAAAAACAACTTACATTAATTATTTATTCAGTTAAAAAAGGGGAAATAAACATCACTTTTCAACAAATAGTAATAAGTTGTTTTTTTTTAATCACCATTATTTACAAATTATTTACAGTGCTATGTTTCTATAATTTACCCCTGATAATGGGTAGGTATCAAAACAGATAAGACTACGAGTAAACTATGAGTAAAATCCTAACATTTAAAATATAAGTTTATGAGACTAAATAAACATTAAATGGCAACAAATGCTACTGCGGGAAAACATAGTTTTCATGTGAGGATAAGATTTCAGTGGGTTTTTATGGTTATCACCGTGGCTTAGACCTGAATCATCATTCTCACAATCAAAACCCAACTGTTTCTAATAGCTCCTGATCATGTCAGAAAAAAAAACTTGCAATAGAATTATGACTAGTAATAAATGCATTGATTGGGTTATTTTCTATCAACTTTATTTTCAGAGCAATTCCATCACTTATACATCGGCTGAGTGTAACAGACTGGATAGCAACCTTAGCAGTATAAGACAAACAGGGTAGAGTTGAGCTGATTTGTAGTGCAGATCCCAAGTGCATTTATTTCCACAACCAAGCAAAAATCAAAAAAATATTTACAAAAATTACAAAGTTAAAAACAGGCATGGCAAAACCTGTGCTCACACATAGCACCTTCTCCCCTGTAAAGGTGAGGCTGGCTCCTTTTATAGGCCACCTCCTTTAATTGGGTGAGCTCATCTTAAAGTGCAGGTAAGTTCAGACGATCTTCATTCCATATTTAAAAAGATAATCATCTCAAAAACAGTGCTACAAATATTCAATTACATCAGGTACAAAAATATATCTTTATTAAATTAGCAGTGTTTTATTATTAATTTAAAAATACTAAATAGAAAAGTTAAAATATCTGTGCTCCCCTCCTCCTAACAAAATGGTTGCCTGCCTCTGAACCTTCTTAAGGTGCTCCGGCTCCCTAGGGACTCTTTTGGCCAGAACCCCTCAGGCAGACAACACAAGAGGGTAAATACCATTCATTTCCCACAATTACTTAAATTAAATGCACTTATTTTAATTATTTCATTTTCTTTTACAGATCTCTTTACTGCACTACAATTTTCAATCAATATTCAATAAACATTTCAAAACTTTGCTTGCTTCTGTCATTACTATTACCTGTTAGCTGCCACAAGGCTTCTGTAATGGACTAGCTACATTACACTGAGCTATATTTCTATTTTTGTGTAGCACCAATGTCGAAATGTTCAATAATAGACCAAACAGGATATCTGATATTGCTATTACATTGAAACAAATGTTACACTTCTCTTATAAAGAATCATACCTAGATGTCCACATTCATAAATAACCAACGGACAAACACTTTATTAATAACCCATAAGAACCCACGGTGACACCAGTGTAACAAACACTTTGAATGCCCCAGTCTCTTCCTCATAAGGCTTTATTTCTGACCTTATTAAGTTCCTAACCGATTATACTAAACATCCTGGTATGATGACCATGTGAGAGTCATGTGACACTAACAGGAAGTGAGCTCTCCAAAATGCTGGTTTAGCCTGGATGCAAATTTCAAGGAAGCAGCTCATTTCAAAAAGCAGTTTTTTGATACTACAGGTAATTTCAAACACATTCAACAGTTCCTATGCTTTAATAACATGTCCTATATTGCGTTCAACCTGGTCTGACCATGTTTATTGAAGAAAGTAATATCAAACCAGGTAGGGAAATATCGCTGTAACAAATATGTCACATCGGGCTTTTAGCCTTAAAATAAGAATGAAAAATTGATGTGACCTATTTGTCACAATAACAAAAACGGTAATAATCCACCCAATTAATTTAGCTGTATCAGTTATATTAAGTTGAAATATGTTCTGCTGATCAATTAAAAGCCCAAAATAACCTATACTATACTATGCTATACTATAATAATATAATATAAGTAAATATAAATATAATAAGTATTTGGTTTGTATTACAAAACATTTTTTTGCAAACCTGTACATAGTGCTCACAAAATTTTACTATCCCAATTTTATTTCTATTTAATTTGTAGTATGCAAAAGAGCAAGTGCTGCATTCTTCAGGATGGACTAGAGGCCACTGTGGGAGATGATATTGAGTTTGAGGGATGTGATGATAGCTCAGATGAAGACCCTGATAACACTCTTTATAAGCCCAATAGCCAAGACAGGGAGAGTGACGAGTCAAGTGAGTGTGGTGATTCAGACAATAGTGAATCAAGTACATCAGATGATGTACCACAACTAAATGTGAATTCAGGGCAGTAAAATACATCTATCCTAGGAAAAAAAAACAAGAAACTGTCCAAGGGAAAAAACAATTTTCTTAGAGGAAGAAACGTTTTGAAACCCCTGAATGCACAAAGGACCACATTTCACACCTCCAGACAATCTTCTTAGTCCTCTGGAGTACTTCAGAAAGTTCATAACACCACACATTGGTGTCTTAGTCAACACGTTACAACACGTTCATGTGAGTAGACATCCTTGATGTATACATTGCAAGGTGCAAGTACCACATGAGTTCACAAAGGTGGTACATCTACTTGTTCTGGCACACCATCATGTTAGGTCTGGTTAATGCATGGTTGACTGTGACTGTAAACTACTTGGTGTCCAAAACACACTGAAACAAAAGAGCTTCCAGGCAGATGTTGCCACTAGCCTCATTCTTTGGCAGGCACAAAGAGGCCGCCCATCACTCAGTGCCACATCTCCACCACCACCACTGCCCAAGAGGGTTTGTGGTGGACTTTCAGATAATGTTCGTACTGACAAAGTTGCACACTGGCCTGTGAAATGTGACAAGCATGGCTGCTGCAAACTCTACAAAATCAATGCAACCACCACTCTCAGAGAGAAAGGTGATGTGCGTCTTTGCTTCTTTGAGGAACAAACCTGTTTCAAGTCTTAGCATCTGGCTTAGACTAAAAGGCTAAAGATACTTAACAGACAAAAGAACTGAGAAAATGTTTCACACATGGTGCTGATGATACAAGGGTTCTATTTCTCTTCAGCTTTTTTTTTTTTTTTTGCACAATTTCTGTTTTTAGATCTGTTGTTCAGTTCTCTGTACCTATGGTAGCTTGTTGCGAATGCCCCCAAATAGGCAGTGTTATTTATTTTGATGCAGTTGGCATATTTTGTGACGCAAAGCAAAACTGAAGAAGAATTTTATGTTAAACCTTGCTATTAAAGTCACAGCTTTGATATATGTTGTGGAAATGCAAATAAAAAGGTACTTTTTGTTACCAAGCAGTAAAAACGGTCAGGGTTACTTATTTTCAAATATGGAATACATTTACCACTAACACCCAATGTAACATATATGTAACAACCCAGATCTTTGGTATGAAAAAGTGTTATCCTTAAAAAAAACATCAGAAATGTGTTCATTCTATGTGGTCTTATACTTATACTTCAATAAATTGTAGATGGAACAATTATTTTTGGTGGTCAATATATTTTTTTTGTATTACAAGATTTACTAACTTGCTAATGATACAGAACTACTTTTTGTGTGTGTGTGTATATATACACACACACACACACACACACACATATATGACACAATTCTAGAAGTAGAATTGAAATGATATAATGATATATATCATTTCAAATTTTTAAATCAGTTATCAAGCTCTATTATTCAAGTTAGGCAAAAATCTGGACTTTGGTTTGTGTTTAAAAACATTACACCACAAACTATATCACTATATGCCACTATATGCCATTTATAGGTTCAGTAATAACTAGTATAAACCAGGTCAATCAGCATTTAGCACAGGAAATACATAGGCTACTTACAAATGATGTGTTCTGAGTCTGGGGCAGTACATCACAACAGTGAACTGTAAAAAAAAAAAAAAAAAAAAAAAAAAAAAAGAAAGTAATAAACAGTTGATGGTTGCTCACTGTGAAAAAGTGATTAGGTCAATGCAAATGCCAGTTCATGAGAAGAAAAGACTCCTGCCCAGTCAGAGAGAAAGATGTGCCCTTGACCTCACCTCACAATGAGTTCACCAACCTTCCCACAGATCTGTACCAACAATCTTAAAATTGATCATCATGAAAAAAAACTTTTTGCAATTAGATACAAGCTTCACACTACTTCAGATGTCTGCAAACCAAAGAACATTATATTATGTTGTTTATGTTTATGTTTGCATTTAGTAAGGTTTCTAATCACACACAAAAATATAATGTTAAATGTTGGATTATGGAAAAGCTGTTCATGACATAAATGTAACTAATGTGTTAAACTTGGAAAAAGCATAAAATGTCTTCTTGAACTGTTGTTGAACTTTTGAAAATGTATTGTAAATATTTATATAATGCAGAAAAAAGCTATTGTTCAGTGCCAAAATCATACTTTTGAGAAAAAAATTTGGTCATGCTAGATCTATAGACAATTGAGCAAAATTGACTCTTGTGAGCTTTAAGCCATGTTATAACTTGGATGTATTTTGTTTCATTCACACATGTTTGAGTAACCCTTTATTATTATTCTGTCTACATCTCCAAAGCTCAAAATTCTCTGTTCCACCTTGTGATGTCATGAGTGGTAGTTTTCAAGTTAACAGCTAAAACAGGGCTGAAATCATCCAAATAATTCAAGTGAAGATGTATGGAGTTTAAAAACACAGTGGAACATTTCCTATATTAACATAACATGACATCACAAGCTAGAACAGAGTGTTTTCTTTTTGTGGGTTTGAGTGTTAAAATGTGTGAATGAAACAAAACACAACTCCAGATATGTTTCTGATGAGGAAACATTTTAACATATTAGAAAATACCGTGCGAAACATAGGCCCTTTAATCCAGTTTCTGAGTCGTCCTACAAACTGATCATATGTCAAATGTCATATTGTTGATAGTGAATCCATGCAGTTTGTAATTAAAAGAGCGTTTCGCGTTTACCTTTTGGCTAATGATTAGCTGAATGACGGTCCACGAGGATAGAGCAGGACTTTGCTGATCTCTAGTGGCGAACAACAATCATCTCAGTAGAGCGGTTTCTCTGTAATATATAATATAACCATCTAACTAAAGGCAGTAATCATTTACACATATTAACTAAATCACAAACATAGTGCAGATGCCAAAAAGAGAAAGGGTAAATCGTGTACAGTATGTGTGTCTCACCGTGGTCACCCGTTGACCTGTTCCGCTCTCACGCGCAGAATGTTCAACGTAGGCGCACGTGTTGGAGTAACTTTAAATCACACATAGTAATATCCATAGAGAAATTTACATTTTAAAATAAGGGTTCAACGATTTGGATTCTTAAGTTTTTACACCAAATATTTTAGATTCTGATTAAACATATTAGTAAATCCAAAATTATAATAAAAATATACACTAACTCAAGCGTGGCATAAAATGTAGCTAGTTATAAGTAATATAACTAATCTTAGCGTTAACACAATAAATAAAAAAAATTATAGTTCAGTTTATGCTGTTTGAAGCAGTTACTGTGGGGATTACGTAAACCAACTAAAGCGCTTGTGTTTCGCTGCGTAAACTGCGTAATAGCCGCAGCGCAGGAGCACGGGAGGGTGGTTGGTTGGAGCTCGGGCTGCCTTTGCTCACTCGGAGAGAGCCTTCAAGAAAAAGTTACATTCTTTGCTCAAAAACTCATCTTAATCACTTTTAAGGGCAGATTAAAAAATCGTGTTTAAAAGAGGACATTTGCTGAAGGGGCATTGGCGTTTTCATCGGAAATAATCCTCAAAGTTAGAACAAACCTCGAACTCAAATCTGGGAGAGAAAGTGGACTACTGGGAGACACCGATGGAGCGAGAGTTTGGATACAGATGCGAACAGGCACGATGCTAGCTGCTAACTAGCTCCTGAGGTAAGAAAACCCAGTTAAACTGTCAGATTTCCAATGCCAAAGACTGTTTAGTCAAATGCACATTCTAAAGACATACTTATTTCATGCAAAGATGCTGAGAGTTGAACATTACACCGAGCGTAAAGGATTGCAAAGTTTGTAAAAAGCGACTGTTAGATAATTACAGAACTTCTTGCAGAGGCCAGACCACCGAGCTACGAATGTGGTTATTAATACACTGATACTGTTACGTTTAATAATATGAAATTTTTTATTTATTTTTTGGTCAAAATCAGTGTCTGTTATAATGTGTAGTGTTTTAAAGGCCATCTATTAGACCATGGATTTAGGTTGCCCTTTTTGAAGTTTAGGATGTGTTGTCATAAGCACGATTTTAGATTAGTTATGTATGTAAAAAATATTCTTCTATTCAGAGTTCGAGTTGTTTACTCCAGCAGCATTATCATTTGAGAGAAGACTGAAAAATGAACTGATAAACTAATATAAGAATAGCATGTTTGTAGAAGTCTAAACTTGGCAATATATTGTGCTGCCCTAATATTTATCTGTCAATAATTTGCAGTAACATATGTAACTATGGAGAAGTTGCGACCTAGCAACATCCTCTTTCCTTTAAAACCACACCAAGATACGGTAAAGCTATAAAATACAAGTAACATAATCTGTACACGTGCATCCACACTCTTTAACACTGTCACACCAGACAACTATATGCGTGTTTAAAATATGTTTTGTTATTTACTCTGGTCACTAACTTCCTCTTGTTAAATAGCTGGTTTGTCATTGCGGTGCATTCAACTGCATCCACTCACATTCTTTAGCACTGACCAGGGGGTAAAGGGGACTAACCAGGCTTAACCTCCCAGACCTCAGTGACCTGCTGTGGGCTAGTCACCAGGAGTCTTGCCCTGGAGCTGTGGTTCACTGTTGGAAGAGATAAACTTAATGGAGTATTTCTGTTGGGCTAAAAATATCATTGTAAACATCGAACCACATCTTTTCCCACATTTTAGCTTAATTAGATGTTTGGGTTTCTAGTTTAGACTTCTTGGCAGATGTGGATGAATTACAGAGACTTTGGAATGGTGTTACTCTGGTAAGTAAGTTAATCAGAGCGAAATCAAATGTGAACAATTTAAACAATCAGCTATTTTGTACGTACTTTGTGTAAAAAAATGCATTTCGCTTCAAGAAATTGGCTTTATTTCAACCTACTTTTTTAAAAATACCTGTATTGGTTTCATTGCAACACTTTATTAATTGGTTTGAAATAGACTTAAACCAAATAAGCAGTCATAGCAGGGAAATGTAGGACCCAATAGTAGTACTAATGGATTGAGACTGATATCCAGTCATTTCTAATCACTGAGTCTCTGATCAGCTTTGTTTTTTTTAGTCAAGAGGTTTACAGACAATCCTCTGTCAGTAAAAGCAAGGGGTTTGGGCCAAATTCAGACTTAAGAAGAAGTGTGACAACTATTGTGTGAAAATGCAAAGGTCAGATTTCCCTACGAGAGAAATGCATACCTTTCTTTCCTCTTTTCTTTCTGAAATCTCAATGATTAAAAGTTTGTTTTGTTTATTTTTAAGGTGTATTGTGTAACTTTTCCAGTGGAGGGTCCGTAAAATGTTTTTCTCCCTGTAGATGTTATTGCTTATTGTCTGGAAGGTTTCTCGGTAGGTGTGAAACCTTTCTATCTTCATGGAGACTAAAGCAGACCAAGTTACAGGTCAGATCTGTGGAGAGGTGATCCCATTCACAGTCAGAATGCCTGTTTTTCCAGGTCTTTTTGAACTATAAAGCCATAAATGAATACATGTAAGGTAGAGTTGTTTAATGTTATATTATGGAACATTCCATAGAAACAATCAGGTGACTGAACCAAAAAGTTACAGGATAGTAATTTTGACAGTTTTTGTAATAATAACAATTTTATTTATTTATCATTCTGGTACAAACTTAAATGAAAATAATTCCGCTGAACCGATATTTTGAAGCTGATATGCTATACCAGTATCAGTTTTTGAAAAGAAGAACATAAAATCGAAAATTGAGTATTTCTTCTTTTACCATATTGCCTTACCCTAAATAAAAGCAACTCGCTACTTGTTGACATGCTGAAAGCTGCTCTGTTCTTATAGGGCTTGGTCGCAGTAAAGATTATCACCAAAGCTCAAGAGCCTGTAATTTGTCCACACCACATCAGTCACTCCAAATGCGCTGTTACTGCTGAGGATGCGAAGAGCACTCATTTCACATGTCCATTATGTTCAATTAGAAGCTCGAGGCAACACCAAGGTTAAATTTAGACAGGAAGTAAAACAGAGGGCAGGCAGAGTGCAGAGAAAGGCCAGCTGCTGTTCATGAGGTAAGGATCGCAGTGTTGTCAAGTATAGTTGAACGATTTGGGAAAAATATCTGATTGTGAATTTTCTGACAAGCTTTGGGATTGCAATTTATGTCAGAATAATAGGATTCTGTTCAAAGTTCACATTTTAAACCAAAAAACAGTAAGACTAAGATAATATGAAGTGACTAATACAAGAACTAATACAACAATCACATTTCAGAACTTGTTTGTGGAGGAAATGATTATATGTCCAAAATGGCAGTCTTTGCGATTTGCTAATAGTGTGCGTCCATTCAAATTGCACTTTCAAATACATTACTTTAATTAATATGTATGTGAATTGAATCTTTCTTTCACTATGGATCCTACCTGGACGACTGAAGGATTACAGTTTTAAGTTGACTGTCCCAGTGAAAAGATCTAGCTGTACTGAAGTTGACCCACGCATGTGAAAAGCAGCGCTGTTTCCAGATGTCGAACTAAACTTGGGAGTAGGACTTGACAATATGACCATTTTTTTCCCTCATCTTGATCAATTACAATTTGCAATTCAATTTCCTGAACATAAACTTTTAATCTTTTTAAACATTGCCCTTTAATATGAAATAATATCTTAATAATAACTGCTCCACACCACATGCTTTTACTGAGAGAAGATTGATTGTAAAAACATTATTAGTTTTTAAATGTATTTAGTTGATTTTGGTAGTGCATATTAATGTAGTTACTGTGTGTTCATATGACAAATTATATAAAATATGCTAATTTCCATCTGTTGTCCATAGGCAGGTATTTGATGAATACCACATAAAGCTGAATGCCCTCTCCTCACAGCAATAAATCTGGTTTAGACCTGTGCCCTCTGACATGATCACACTGGGCATGTTTTCCCACACTCTGGAAATCAGCCTGGTGAGGCTCCTAGAAGAAAAAAATGTTTTAAAATGCAAGTGTAGGTTTACAAGACCACATAAAATACAGTACTGGAGTAACAACAAAAGCTGACATTTTGACCTCAGATTTAGCACAAGAAAAAATCTGCAACTGAATACAGAAACCGCTCCTCTGTACAAGAGAGAGTGACAGGGCCTGGTGGATGATAACAAAAGTGCAAGTTTAAAAAGGATTTCCATGGAATTGGTAAGCTTCATATGACGGTAAATACTTTGGTTTCAATTTCTTTGGTTCTGCCTCTGCCATTTTAGCATCACTGCTAATAACTCACTTACACGGTCTTCTGAGCCATAAGATTAATTGTAATCAATAGGGCTATAGACCTTTTGTTGTTTAGACGATTAATCGTTCAATGATGTCTTAGTCGACCAAAATAAATATTAGTTGACTAATAGTTTTTAGATTATAATGATGTATATGGGACAACTGCAGAAACAAGAAGTGAAGAGGTAGTATCTGTTGGTTTTTATATGTGAAAAGACAAGTTTAATCTGACATATAAATATGTTATTTCAGTACTTTTCTAAAAAAATAAAATAAAATCTATGAATATACTAAATACATATAGTTATTTAATAGATACAGAATAGTTTAGGGAAATCACAATTTCTATTTGAATTGTTGCAATTAGCAGATTTTATATATTATTATTATTATATATATATATTATATTTATATAATTATATGATATATTATTATTTCCCCTGCACAGATACCAGAATAATGTCTTAACAGGCTTAAAACCTCTGATTTTTAATTTGTCACCTTGTATCCCAGTTTTTGCTGCCCATGCACAGGTTTGTAATTTGCACTCTGAACAGAGTTCTACTGTCACAATGCTTGCCTGAAGAATCACGGCTAGATCAGAGTCCCTTGTCCACAGAGGGGCAGCAGTGGTCGGCCTGCCCCTCGTTAGTGAAGTGCTCAGGGGCATGTGAGGAATGTTTGGCCAGCTGCTGTCCCACAGACTGTCCCACACAAAGCCCCTCTCTTTGGGACAGTTTTTACACAAACTGACCCTGACATCCAGAGATGTTTACAGGAGCCTCTGAAGAAGAGCCAGACACTGTCTTTATACAGACCACTGCTGATGGTCCTCCATCAGGGGGAGGAGGCTGGGCAAAGGTTTGGGTTTCTGTCCATTCTTATTCTTTCCATGTATTTAAGTAAAATCTGTCTTGCCCCAGTAGATATATATATATAGTATATATATATATATATATATATATAGATATATATATATATATATATATATATATATATATATATATATATATATATATATATATATATATATATATATATATATATATATATATATATTTATTTTTTTTTTTTTTATGGACCTATTTAGCATTTTATTGTCCTATAATGAGGAAGTGGACATTAGCATGCTAGTTATTGGTAGTGGACTATGGTGGACCCCACTATTTTGCCCAGTGGGCTAAATGAATTGATTAAATAGTATTTGCTGTTTGTTACTTTTTCATTATTTAGATAATCTCAAAAAGTAGAACTTAGAATGTATGTTACCTTTGTTTCTTCAGATGTTATTGCTTTTCCTGGAATGTTTGACTATATGGCATTAAACCTTTCTGTCTAGCATTATTTAGGGAAGACTCTAATATAACAATTGGCTTAAAGAGAAAGTGTTGGACATATTTTCTTACATGGCTCTCTCTTCCTCATGATACTCTATCCTGTATCCCTGGTTTCTGTGCCACCCCTGATATCCCATAAACATCTCTCTCATCTCTCACATTTTTGCCGCTCCCCAAACTAAATGCAGTGTCTCTTGTAAACTTGTGTCTGGTGCCTGTCCCGTGCACTCTGATTGGTGGCGCTCTCCTCTGTCTCCCTGTCCCCGGACTTTTTGGGGGTGTCCAAGGGAGCTGCACATTCCTGGAAAGCCAAAGGAATATTGAGAATTCCCATGAATGCGGAGAGCAGCAGGTGCGGCCTTTGCGTCTCTAAATCACTCAGACCAGCCCAGATTCTGAGGAGCAGCCGCTCACAGCACGACAGCTCAGGGTGTGGGAGAGGGCACATGTTTACAACCATTATTTTGAAAGGAAACTGTTCATTTGGAAATCTTATGCTGAATCTAAAATTATTCTCATTATATCAACATAAAAATGTTGTCTGTGTTGTTATGTTTTCTTACAATAACCACAAGATGGCAGCACTTCAATCAAATTTTACTCTTTGACAGATAGCTCTGTAACAGTGTCACAAACTTTGACAGTCCCAGAACATTTTGTAAATACATTTAAAAATATATTCTCAAACTTGTAGAGTTGTTATAGTCGTGGATTTTTTTATTTAGATTTCCCAGTGATGGCATAATCCTTGCATTTGATCAAGATCAAACTTTTATTTTTAAGACTTCTATAAACTAACAATGCTGCTAAAAAATTTTTTATGACTTTTCGGGTGGGGGATCTGCCAGCTACTTGTCCCCATGGAGATGGTATAGCTTTGTAATGTTCCACAGTATGGCATCAAACTTCTATCTCCATGCAGACAATAGGGTGATACCATCAGGCCACGTTACAGGTGAGATCTCTGAAGAAGGTATTCGTTTAGGTAAAAACACCTGCAACTCAGTGAGAGATGTATAAGTTCAATGCCATACTGTGGAACATTCCAGGCAAAGCAATAACAGAAAAGTTCCACAATGCACCTTAAAATTACAACTTTCCTCGAACAGTTTTTCTCATGATTTTTCCGGTCCAGTCGTTCCCCTATTGTGAATTCCCACACACCCCTCAATTAGGCCACAGATAAGAGGATAAAGAAGGAGGTATGTCTCAGTGGCTTTCTCTTTGTGTTGTTGACACAGTTTCCAGTTGGGACAAGAGGAAGGCTGCTCCTGCTTAAGTTATATGATCCTTGCCTTCAAGAGTCCCGCCTCAGAGCAAAACACAGGCCACGCCCCCTAGCAACATACAAGCCACACCCCCTCCACAACCAGCGCTGGATACTTGGGTGAGTCTATCATTCCTAGCAACACTCCAGACAGACTGCTACTGCTATCCTGCAACGGGACCATTTTTTATTATCAAGTTTATGTTGAGTTTGTACAATTGGCTAAACTTCAAACAACTTAATTTTTTTATCCATTGAATTCATTGTAAAGTTTTGGATCACTATATTGCAAGTAAGTACATTTATGTTCGTACTTTTAGTAAGTTGCTTTATCCTCTCCTAATCGCAACTCTCGCTCCCATTTATGTTTTAGCGGCTGTCGAACTTGTGATTTTATGTTTATTCATTGACGCTTTTGAAATGCATTGGATTTCTGTCATTTCTACTATGATTGACTTAAAGTCAATGGTAAAGTTAGTGGCTATGATGGCTCAGGTATATTATGTTTATTTATTAACTTACTGTCTTACTGGCATGGAAACTTTAAGTAGTAACACATGGTTACATACAATTACTACACTAAATTAAACCGAATCAGAACATGAATGTCCTTAAGCTGGTACCACCTGCATATCACCATTCCAAGACCACTGGACTAAACCAGAACTAATCCAGGACTGAATCAGGACTAAACTGTGTGGGTTATTGCTGAAGAAACTATAAACGATAAACAATGAAACGAATTTATGCCACTGACACAATAACCTTAAAAAGGGATTATCCCCCAAACATATTATAAAGGTTCACTATAGTTAAAAAAAACAAAAAAAACATGAGATGCAATAACTACACAGCAGAATGAAACACTAAGTGCTTTGAAGGTAGAAAAGCGCTATATAAAAATGTGACCATTTACCATTAGTTTGTAAGTCATAGAAATTATTCATTCAACCTTCTACAGCTCAAATCTTATAGTTGTACCAAAAAATAAAACAAAAGTTCCCACAAACACATAGAAAAACTACTAGTAACTAACTAATAATTGTTCCATCTGTCATGGATTGAACGATAAGTCAGTAGAGTATTTATCGTGACAGGCCAAATCAGAACTATATCAGGACTCAGTCAGGCCTAAATTTGGACTAAGCCAGGAATAAAATAAGACTAAGCCAAATCAGAACTAAACCAAGACCCAAATCAGGTCTAAACTCTAGGTAAACCAGAACTAAATCCAGTCTCAACCAGGACTATGCCAAAACTAACGGGACTGAATCAGGACTAAACTAGAACTCAATCAGGATGGAACTAGGACTTAGCCAGGACAAAATGAAAACTAATTCTGGACTGAATCTGGACTAAGATATGGGAGAAACCAGGACTAAATCAGAACTAAACTAGGACTAAACCAGGACTAAATCAATCAACTCAATCAGGCCTAGGTGAGGAAAAAATTGTCTCCTTGGTACAAAGAGTGACAACGTACCACAGTATTTAAAGCACTATATGTGATACTTTTCTATATAGTCCAATTTCTTAAATTAATTTAAATTTAAATTAAATTATTTCTTAAATAGCTACCCCAGTCATTTTCACATGCTACTTAACAAATTATTACTGTGTCCATGGACTGAATAGACTGTTTGTGCTCTTTTAACGAATATGACCTCAAATAATAAAAAGTCAGCCTGAAGACACTTTAAGAACAAGAACAAGAACTTGTTTTTACACAATATTCTTAAGTGTATTGTGGTGACAACTATAGCAACAACCAGTAACCTAGGAGGTTTAGTAATAGCAGCCTGTTTTGTCTATCAAATGTGGTATTGCCTATGTTTTGTTTGCAATAGCTACTAAACCAACATTTTTAAGACAAAGGACAAAACTAAATTGGAAAAATAAGAGTTTTTTTGGTTTGGAATAAGGATGTGAGTCACTGGCTTGACCCATGAAGGAACTCTTAATGCCTTGGTAGAGGTCTTTCAGATAGCTTGTAGCCTTTGTGTAGTTTCAGACACATCCTTCAATTCCTAAGGATATGTCTTATATCCTCTATCCTTTTTCTATTTTATTTCCCCAACAACCCAGCACCCTGCACAATCACACATGCATTTCTATGTGTAGTGTATTGTTGAAGGACACAGCAGAATAGACCAACTATGAGATCAGGAAGCAAACCACTATCTTTTGAGTTTATGCTAGTGGTGTGCACAGTAATTGTATTGTTGTGTTTTTATGCTTTTTTTTAGTATCCCCATAATTATATTATGGCAGCTGTTATCCACAAAAGTACATGAATCAGCCTTTTTTGCAATATATAACATACTTGATATTCAAATTCTGCATATATTCTAACAATATTCACAATAACATTTTTAAAGTAGCAGCGATACTAAAAAAGTCACATTGACAGGACAGAAATGAAGCTTTCCTGAATATCTTTAGAATGATCTTGAGCTGTATTAGAACAAGTATAAGAGCACATAGACACTAGTATATTTTTTTTAATCAGTGTGGTATTGGTATTTGAATTGATATCGAGTCTATTAGTATCATGACAACACTTATTGTATCTTTCATGCACTACTTCATTTCATTCATTGTCATTCATGATTCTTTGGTTGCTCAAGTTTTGTGGATGATCTACATTTTCAGCTCTAGTCAGTTGAGTTGGGGTTTTCTCGTTAAATGCTTATATTACGTAAGTTGCAGTAACCTTATTTTTGTGGTAAACAGATTTGAGGGAAGTTATTAGCAGCACAGAGGCTCAGTGTGAGCTGTCAGGAGGTGTGAACGCTCATGAGCCCAGGGTCATGTCCATGTCACAGATAATGGAGACCTGATAACAGCAACCTTCAGCTTTAGACAAGAGCGGAGCATAGTGTGTTCGTAGAGATTATACTTGTACGATATCAACCACTTGTCACTGAAAATCGACTCTATAAAACTCTGTAAAAGTGTGGCTGTAATTTGTCTAAGCAAAGCCACGATGATAAAATGCTGGCTATGTTTGCATGCACACCAAAATGTGATTATTAAGTGATTTTTGATTGAGATTGATTTTAAATTTCATAAACTTGACTTAACTGTGGCCCCAGATACAAGGTAGCTAAGTTAAAATAAAATAGCTTTCACGGATAACAGTTGAAATTTTGATTTATTCTTAATTACAAAAACACTGGACATGATGACCAAGTTGTTTTATTGTTAGAATTTTGTATTTTGATTCTCAAGATTTAGATTTTTCTATAAAGCAGAATGAGCCTCACATGAGTCTCACGTTTGGGTTGCCAGTATCAGTAGTGAAATCCAATTGGTTTAAACCTAAAATGCCTCTCTGATCTGAATGGTCACTACATAAATCCCAGCACCTGCACCAATCATGAATCAGTGCTAGTGCAGCCTCTGCTTTTCACGGTTACTCCTGCTACTTCCATTGAAGCAGTAGTGGGTGACCTTACTGCAGTGTCCATGACATTTCCACCACCAGATATGAATCAAAACCTTGGTCAAGAGAACTTCACTGGAGAATTGGCCTATTGTGCATGCTGGGGATGCGACACTGGCTGAAACTCACCTAGACACAGGGAGAACATGCAAACTTCACATGAAAGATCCCAAAACAAACAAACTTGTTGCAAGAATCCATTGCTGTTGTCACAATGTCTAAACAAAGGACTTGTGGATAATAGGCATTGTCTAAAAAAATTTCTGTCTCGCTGAGTGTGGTCTTGAAAGGGGAGTAGATAAGTGTTTAACTTTGACTGTTGACATCATTCTAATTTTATGAATGAAATAAATGAATGGATAAATAATAAATGAACTATCTGTGGTCATGACTTGACCTCGTAGCTGGCTCATTGCCATAACAGTAAATCTTCTTAGTCAGTTGAAACTCACTCCTTGGTCAGTGTGAAACCAAGCCCACATTCCTCTGTGTTAATCATCAAACCACTTCACTCCCAACTTTATTTAAAAGTATCTTTAGCTCAAAGCTAATGCTACTTCAGCCGCTTATCTGAAACAGCAAGATAAAGAAGGTCACATGACTCTAGGCTCGCGCTACTTACATTCACCAGGAAGTCATGCTTACACTTGGTTTCTAATTCTGTTCATTCATATGGCAGGTTACTGTCATAAAACGTGGGGGAGAACCAAAAATATACTTCTGATGTTTTTCAGAGTTAAACTAATACTAAACCAAGACTAAATCTGGACTAAAGATTTTCTATGTTAGAATGAATACTGGACTACTAAACCAGTCCAGATCTTAATCATAATCATTCATTCAGGTTTAAATCAGGTCTAAATCAGGTCTAAATCAGGTCTAAATCAGGGTTAAACCAGGGCTAAACCAGGGCTAAACCAGAATGTAAACTGGAACTACAACCAGGACTATAACTAGCGACTAAAACTGGGACTAAAACCTGCACTTAAACCAGATATTTAGACCAGGACTACAACCAAGATGAAAGCAGTACTTAAGAACAATGCATTGTTTAATTGTAACTCCTACTGCTCCTGCCTGCTCTTATCAGAATGAGATAATGTTGTCCATGTGACGTTTGGGTTTTTAAACAGGAAACGCCTCAGACTCACTCATGTGTTTGTGAACTCACTGCACCTGACTCAGGGTCAAGAGCAAGTCACACACACCTGGACTCCCTCTAAGCAGGTCCAGAGCTCTGAGCAACCGCCTGGAACTGGTGAAATGCTGTCTGACTACTGTTTAATAGTAGGGTGCTATATTTTAAAGCAAGAATGAGACATATTGCAGTATTTCTTATTAATAGCAGACTAAGCCATTGTTCTCCATGAGTTTGTGGAGGTGTGGCCTCAGTAGTGCTTCTCGTGAGTGATTATTTGTGGTGGCACTCCTCATGTCTGTGGGGTCAGTGTGGTTATGTTACCACTATTTGTCGGTTCATGTTGGAATTTAAAGGTGCGTTGTGTAACTTTTCTGGTGGAGGGTCATTCAAATGCTTTTCTCCATGAAGATGTTATTACTTCGTCTGAAATGTTTCACATGGTATTAAACCTTTCTATCTTCATGGAGACCAAACCAGACCAAGTTACAAGTCAGATCAGTTGAGAGGTAGTCAAAAGGTCTTTCTAGGTATCTTTGAGCTAGAAAACCCCCTGCTCCTGGAATAATGGAATAAATGTAAGATAGAACATTGACATATCTATAGAAACAAGAAGGTGACAGATCCCAACCGAAAAATTACACCTCTAATGATTGTCAGTTGCGATTAACTTTGAAGGTCACCAACCCGGAGTTTGCAAACCTAGGCCTGTCACAATAAGTACTTTATCGACTTATCATACAATATATGAAAGCTGCAATGATCTTTTTTTTTTGGGGTGGGGCGGTCAATATTTATAGTGTGTACATTAATATTTTCTTTGCTCTACTCTCAAAAATAAGCCTCAAAAGGCTGAATTAATAACTTCTATGGCTCTTTAGTACTGAGTTTGCACCTAAAAAGTAGGTTAATTCTGTTACATTCAGTTTATTTATTGCAGCTCACGGTTTTTAGAATAGTGTTTTTGTGGTTTAAATCTGCTCTTGGTTTTTTGTGTCAGTGGCATAAATTAGTTTCAGTATTGTGATTTATCGTCTATACTTGAGCAATACTGTTATATCATACTTCAGAATGTGTGATTGTGACATGCCTACCTACATCTACAGTGATGCTGCAATGACTGTAACAGACTCCTCACTTCCACTGAATCTGTGCTTTTCTGGGCCTTTAAAAACTAAGATTTAATCCACATGTGTGTCTTCTTATTGTTTCATTTTCACTCTGTCTTCAAGAGCGCATGGAAAGAGCAGCTGACAAGTTATTGCATTCACATTTTCCGGTTCCTCTGGATTTCTTTAAGGTTAAGCTTAGCCTTTATTGTCCCTGTAGAAAAATTTGTCCTGGAGCAACCAATGCAGTGACCGGGGACCCATCTCCAGATCTGGGGCAGGGGTCAGGACTGATTTAGCCGGAGGATTTTACCTGTTGACTCATCCTGCATCTTGGTACTTCTGACCAAAATTCTGTCTCAATGTCCATCATTACTGAAGGATCCACATTACACAAAACTGTTATAAGCAAAAAGATTATAGTTAGAGTGAACAATTATTGATTTGATTTTTTGTGTTTAGGAATATTGACTGCTAGGGATGGGACAAAAGCACATGAGGTTGGTTTCATTAGAAGAGATTTTGACATAATTTATAATAAACAAATTGTGAGATTCTGTTCACAATTTTATCCTCACGATTTTTCACAAATTTTTCTTATGTGTGAACAGTCTTATAGCAATTTTGTCTCTCAAGATCTTGTGGGATGAGATCTTGTCCCATCTCTTTTGACTGCAATTTTATCAACAAAAATATGGTTGGGTGTGTAAATATGGTTGTTAAATTAGGACTGACTGAAATGTATTGTTTGTTTTGACCGTGGCTTAGTTCAAGCTCAAGACTCTAAAATGGTATGACTACATTATTTTTAAAACATGGATTAAGTTCCTATAGCTTAGCACGTGAGCCTATTGTAGTTTTTGATAAAGGGTTTTAAAGCAACAATGTTTCCCAGAGCAGTGTGACTAAATGCTCTGGTATCATGAACATGTTGACTGACTACTGCTAAACACATGCCTCAAGTTATGGGTCAAATGTTAACCACAGTCTCAATAGTCATTTGTGAAATCTTCCAAGTAAAGTAAGTTCAAGTTTACAAATTCCAACCAGTTATTTTTTCAGTGTCCATATTTGGATTTATTTAAATCTTAATACTGTAACTTTTACATCTTTTGTTTTGTACAGTGGTAGAAGACATAATCGATTTTTTTTAAGTTAAAGGTGCATTGTGTTACGTTTCTGGTGGTGGGTCTGTTGTCTGCATGTCTCCATGGAGATGTTGTTGCTTTGTCTGGAATGTCCAGATATGGCATTAAATGTATCCATCTTGCATTTACTCAGTAACATGATTTTTTTGTTTTTTTTTTTTACTTAAAAACTTTTGCATTCTTACTGTGAGTGGGCTCGCCTCTCTACAGATCTGACATGTAACCCTTTATCATAAACTATGCTATGATGCCACCTGCTGTCTCTGTAGAGCTCAATATGTGTAATGCCATACTGTGGAACATTCCAGGCAACATCTCCATGAAGAGAAGCTGGCGACAGAGCCTCCACCAAGAAAGCACCTTTAAGTAAAATACAGATACCGCACCAGAGGAAAAAAAAATAAGTAAAGAAAAAGTATCACATAAGTGTTTCACACAGATTTTTTTTTTTTACTTTTACTGGTTTTGTTGTTTGTATATCAATACATTGCAAAACATTTGCCACTTAATTCAATGATAAAGGGCTCTCCACCAGGAAGTGCAGTGCACCTTTTAATTGTGTATTCACCCTGTTGCCGTACAGGTGTTTTTTTCCATACATATTGATTTCAGTGTATTGTATGACCTCCTTGTAACATGTTTTGCAGGACATGTTGAACCTCTTTGCCTAAAGTTGAAGATGATGGAGGGAACAGCAGAGATGAGCGACAGTGATTCTGGGATCATCCTTCACTCAGGTAAAAACAAACCTGCATCAGCATTCAGACACAATCCTGTTACTGAAACCAGACAGGTACCATTGTTTCTGGTAGAATAAAGACCATAGCATTGCGTTGTTGTTTATTTTTTATTTGTTTAAACAGGAATGGTACACACAATGCAGTATAATACAGCATATATAGAAATGTTCATTGTAGTTAATATATTGATAATTCTTTGTTTTTTGTAATACTAATAATTTCACATAATATTGCGCAGAACCTGTGTTTTCAACACTCAAATATCAAAAGCATCACATATATGTCAGAACTCCTGAGGGTTTTTCTCAGACATTTAAAGATATTTCCAGCATATTCAACACAGCTTTATTTCCAACGGTTTCTTAACTTCAGTTTCTGTTGGCACGAAAAATCCCTCCCAAACTTGTACTACGAGATACAGATATGATATTCTACTGTGACTGTTCCTCTGTTTATGTAAAGTTAAACCCGGAGGAGGTTGTGTGAAAATACCTCTAGATCAAAGTCTTAATTCTTTCTATTTCTGGCCTTTAGTTAGACCTGGTTTAGACCTGGATTAGACCTGGATTAGACTTGATTTAAACATGGTTTAGTCCTGGTTTATTATGTATTTTATTTATTCTATTTATTTAATGAGACAGGGACAGCACACAATTTACATTAACCCAAACAGGAGGGATGCATTGTACCAGGTTGTAGCACCAGAACTAATTTCCACCTGTAGTCCCGTGCCAGGTTCATTGATTGATTGTATTTAATTGACCTTAGCTATCAGCTGTTCTTCCTGGAGACCTATGTAGCATGTTTTGGGTTTAGATTTGGTTTAATACCTGTTTAATACTTGTTTAGCCTGGTTTAGTCGTGGCCTAGTCCTATTTTAGGTCTGGTTTAGACCTGTTCTAGTCTGTGGTTTAGTCGTGCTTTAGTCCTAGTTTAGTTGTAGTTCAATTCCTCATTTAGCACAGGTTTAGTAGCCCTGGTCTTGACCTGGTTTAGCCCTTGCTTAGTCCTGGATTAGCCCCAGTTTAGACCTACTTTAGCCCTGGTTTAGTCCTTGCTAAATTCTTGCTTCATCCTAGTTTAGATCCTGTTTATGACAAGTTTATTCCCCAATCTACTCCTTGTAAACACATTGCTCATATTTGGCTGCTGTCTGTTGCCATGAACACTAATGACATTCAGATTAAGTGGAGGGGAGTGGCTCTGGTCCTAGTGGAGAGGGCCACATACCTTCAGAGATTATTAACAGGGTCTCCACAGGTAGAGACGCAACGACAATAGGGTCAAGAATTTGACTTCCTCAAACTCCTCCCCCCTCCCACTCTTGTTCAGGTCCCGTCGCTGTAAAACGTAGAAGTCCTGTGGCTCAATTATGTTAGCAAAGAATGCGAGGAAGCCATAACAAATTTAGACAACACCACAGCGCTAAACTAACAAGACTGTCATTGTTTTATTGGCACAGAGACTTGCACGTGCTTTCGAGGTCAGTCTAAAGGGGGATTAACACAGGATCTAGGATTGTCAATTAAATGTATACACAGATACTAAACAATATGACAGCTAATATCAAAACTTGATAGTCTTTTGAATAAGTATCAGGACAAATTTAGACATTCCTGATGAGTTCTGTAAATGGTTAAAGAGATCTATTTTAGAACTTGTATAATATCACAGTATAAAGATGAAGAAACATCAATGATACACTGTATATATAAATGGTCAGAGCTAACCTGCTAAACACCGCATTCCAAATAGGAAGTGAACATGGGCTTTTTTGGTTCCACTGACTTCGGCTCTGATTCACTTTCTGCTGAGAAACCATAGTCCCACTCTCTGTACTTCTGCTGTTACGCCCGTCATTTTGGTCTTAAAATGTTCGGATTAACCCACTCTACTTGATCCTGGGTTTTTTATTTCACTATTTTGTCTGTAAGTCAAGAGATGACCATTAATAACAGACAAATCAGGTGCTTTCTTCCCCAAGGTTGCCCCACTAGTGCAACACGTTTGATTGACTGCGTTGCAAATCTTCTGCTTCCTGCTGAACCAGAGATGTGGGTGAGAAGGGGCTATAGTTGAAAGTAACATTATATAGATTTTTGGTTTGTTTGTTTTTGTTTTGTTTTAACTATCTATTGTTTAATATGATCAAACATGTCTACGGCTAAACAGTCTAAAAATTTCAAGTAATGGCTTTTAATGGTAACTTCTAGAATTGCACAATTTTGGAAAATGGCGAAATAGCTTTTGTTTTTTTTTTGCATTGTTTCCTCTATGTGGTTGCAATTAGATTTTAGAGTGTAGGGTTTCGTATATAGCCACACCTTATGGAGACAGCCTATGTTGTTCTCTGTAGTCTGTATTACATTACCTAAAAAATAGTTGCTGTTTTTACCATTTACTCTTTGCTCCCATTTAAATGGTCTATAGTAGATAATATATTACCTTATGTCTGATTCAGTCTTAGTAGGACACAGTTGTGAGGACAAGAATGTGCGTGGGTGCATTCCTGATTCTGCAAGTGTCAAAGGCGTGTTACTGTTTATTTTTTTAAATGAACACAGATGAAAAATTAAGATTGTTTTGTGTTAGCATTCTTAGGTTCACTCCTGTCAGGGCTGAGCGATATGGCGATGAAAATCAAATGGTGATCAAAATTTCCCTTTTGTGACAGTGTCTCTCTCTTCATTGGAGCTTTTGGGTCAAACACACACTAGTTTCCCGCTCACTCCTCCTATTCCTGAGCCTCTTTCATGATCTGAGTAACTGATAGGCCTGGGCCAAGTTATAGTTCTAATCTGTAGAGACATGACCCCACTCCCAGCGAGAATGTATGGTTTAAAAATACTTGTCAATCTTGCATTCATTCAACTACAAGTTTAATGACATCACCCACCCCTGCATGACAAATAAAGTTGATACTTCAAACTCTACTCATTGTTTACTGCTTTAGACCTAAATGTTGAACTGTTTTTAAGGTATGTTTTTCGATAAGTCCTGGTTTAAGTGTGTGATTAAGTTATTTACTAGTCATTTGTAATATCGAACAATTCCAGTGATATTGAAAACTGAGAAACAGTGGAGATGAGGGCATGGTTCCTTACACCTGATGGGAGGTCCTCAACAGTGACAGCCCATAATCATCTTTGCGTCATGCCCCAAAACAACTGTAATTCTCTTCAACAACTGGTCATTCACACATCACACTAAAAACACTTATTCCAAAAATATTACATATCGTTAGCCTCATTGCATGATTGCATAATAGTATAATAATATGTAATTTTTGAGGAAAAAAATTCAAAAATAAACTGCTGATGTCAGTAAGATGACTGGGGTGGTTTGTGTTTTTTGCTTTGGCTGTAAAAATCTTTCTGATTGGAAAGGACTCAGCAAATGACACCCACAGTTACAGCAGGTTCTAGAGAACAGAAGACACAATTAGACCAAAAGTCCACTTAGGCAGTTATGAAATGCAAAGCAACACTAAAGAGTGTCCATTGTTTGACACACATAAATATCGATTACCTCATAGCATAAGTAATAGAGGATGAATGGCTCTTGCTACCAAATGAGAGATGGGCATTTTCAAGAACCAATACATTTTGCACAGAACCCTGACTTTAATGGTAACTGCTGAACATTCCATCATAGACATACATGCAGTACACCTCCGGTGTGATGTCACTGTAAAATATCAGTACAGGTTGGCATGTTTTTAATCCTCCTTTTCTCATTTTCAGGGTCTGACAGTCCGACGTCTCACTCCAAAGATGTAACAACTCACACTCGGGCCATGAAGCTGAAGCACCAGGCTCTACAGGAGCGACTGGAGCTGTGTCTGCTGGAGCTCAAGACGCTCTGCATCAGGGAGGCTGTGAGTACCATCACACAGAGAGGGTCATGTGGGCAGTCTAATGACAGTAAGACTCTAGTCGACTGAATACCAGGGTTCCCACAGTCATGGAAATCCTGGAAAAGTAATGGAAATTGAAAATGTAATTTTCCAGGCATGGAAAAGTCATGAAATTTTGTAAATTCAATGAAAGTTTTAGAACTGTCATGGCATTTTAGTATCTCTTTCACACAACTACAGCGTTCTGTTAAGTTCTCATTAGGCTATTATGATTATTTCTGAACGTCTGCGCCTTTTGTTTAAAAGAGACGACAATAAATGCACTGACAGGATTTTGAATGTTCAAAAAATATAATCCCAAACCATAAGGTGAGTGGAAAGGGCTAACATTTCATATCTAGCCCTAAAAGTATGCTTAATTTTACACATGTAGGTGCTGTAAAGTCACAGAAAATTTCATTTTAGGTCATGAAAAAGTCATGGAAATGTTTTGAAATTTTGTCAGTGAAAAAGGGTGGGAACCCTGGAATACATTCTTGGTCGACTAAAGACGTGTACTGCTGATCAATTAGTCGAATAATCTCTCAAAACTATTAAATATCTCTATAATATGACTATGTATCAGGCCAAAACTGATGCAATGAACCAAGTGGATGGTGGTAATGAACTGGCAAAACATTTCACCAAACTGCTTTACAGAACACAGAAAAACACTGTCATACCAGAAACTCACATGTGATGCACCAATAGTTAACCATTATGAAAGCACTCTTAAACTTCAGTATTGTTATAGTATGGTTCCAAAGTATAGTTAAAATCATACTTTGTAACATTTTCCATGGAAATAAATTTAAAGCCATATTATGGAAGATTATAGCCTAAGGAATAACATTTCCATGGAAACTAGCAAGAAGAGGCCCTGGTCCAGGCCAAATAAAATACTGGTTTATGGAGATGCAAGTCTGCTGTCTATTTTTTGTCTTAAAAGTTACATACTCTAGAAATGTCATATGATACTTTTTTCAGTTTCTCACTTTCACAAAAAAGGTAAAAACAACAAGATTTCTTTCTTTCTTTCTTTTTTTAATCTCTTTGCCATAAATGGCCCTAGAGGAAGTTCCTGTGTTAGCACGACAACTTTAGTGCTTTTAATTCTAAGGTACAAAACAGAAGCCTGACTGTTATGGTATAAACAGGGGAGTAATCCAGTTGTGACTCATTAAGAACAGAAACTTCTCCCAGACTGTTACGTAAGTCAATTCAAACATGAATTATCAGGTTAATGTCTCAAGGGGTGACTGAGGGATGACACCTCCACAGTCAATAAAACGGGGACATTGTGGTCATAACATTTCTGCAGTTATTCTCTTTTATTGCCCCTTTATCTCATACAGTCATTAGGTCAACATTTGCATCATTTCAATCATATGTTTTGACATAGGTGTGTTCATGCCACATTGTCAACAATGTCTATGGGTAATATTAAATGCATATTATGCATATTGTACTACACAGAATATACACATTCCACGCAGTATGAATGCAGGACCTTCTAGATGTCAGTTTTTTTTGTTTTTTTTTTGTTTAACATTGGGTCCCATGTCTGGTCTAGTCCTGGTCTGGTCTAGTCCTGGTCTAGTCCTGGTCTAGTCCTGGTCTAGTCCTGGTCTAGTCCTGGTCTAGTCCTGGCCTACACCTAGACTAGCTACTACTTGGAAAGATAGTGCTTCTTGTAAAACGTTTGTTTTTGCATGTAATCACTGGGATGATCTAACTTTGGGGAAAGATTGTGACGTTTCAGTTTTGTTTATTCTTTTGTACACCGCCTCCTCTCTCTTTATTACACTCACTCCCCTTCCCTGAACTCTCCTGTGACTTTTATTTACGATAGTTTGATTCTATAGCCTATATGTTTCAGTTTAACACTGGGGCTTGTTCTGGTTTTGTTTACATTTTGTTTAGTCATTATTAAATTTAGGTTTAGACGTAATAGTCTAGTTCACTTTTAGACCTGGTTCCGTCTGGTTAAATCCTGGTTTAGTCCAGTCTAGTGTTGGTCTAATTCCCTGTTTATTCCTCGTATGGTTCCGGTCTTTCATGTAACCACCTGGATGATCTAATTCTGGCTACAGATTGTGACGTCTCAGTTTAGTTTCTTCATTCAGACACCTCCTCCTCTCCTCTGGGCTGGTCTCTCTCTCCTCTGATCTCTCCTCTGGGCTGGTCCCGTAGTGCATTGGTTGGTTGTTGGTGAAATCCCGGATCATTCCTTGTTGTCGACACTGGGGATGGGTCGGGATGGGCGCTCGTGTCGGGACTTGTACAGATGAACTGACAGAAGAACAGCTTCCTTCAGGGACACTGGTCACCTCTGACGTATTCTAACCGTCTAGCAAAGAGTGACTCAAAATGACAATGTTTCTGTCTCATAAAAATCTTGAATCATTCCACACTGAAGGGACATTATCATCACTCATTTCAATGTTTTAAGCTAAGTAGGAACAATTATTCATTCTTAAATGGCTGATCAGAAATACTTTATGATACCCAAAGCCACTTTAAGATCCTTGGTGCTGACCTTTATGGCCCTACATGGCCAGGCTACTGGCTATATCGCAGACCTGATAAAGCTGTACACCTCTCCTCGTAGCTTGAGGTCTACCAGCCAAAACTTGCTAATGATCCGGCAGACAAGCTTTAAAATGCAAGGAGACAGATCCTTTCAAGCCGTCTCCCCTAAACTGTGGAAGGAACTGCCTCCCATCTATGCTCTCTAGAGAGTGTAGATGCTTTTAAAAAGTAACTAAAACGTTCCTCTTTGAACAAGCATTCCCGTCCCCTTAGGTTTAAGGCTGCTATGACTGATTTCATTATGAATGTATCTAATATGCTGTTTGTTTGTTGTTTTTTTTTTAATCTTTTGTATGTGAAGCACTTTGAACTATGTCTGTGAAAAGTGCTATATAAATAAACTTTACTTACTAAGCACATTCTATTAAATTACAAACATGCAATTTCATGACTAAGAAGACAATACAAATTAGAACAAAACTGACATTTGAGACACCAAATTTAAGATTTTAAAGTTATGTAATTAATATCTAAAACAAAGTACGATGCTTGTCCATGAAGATCTTATGCCTAGAAGTTTCCACAACATGAAATTAAACCTATCTCCTACATGACCATGTTTTTCATGTATGTTGGAGAAATAAAGACATAGGTAACTGAATAAATGCAAGGTTTAATGTGGAACATTCCAAGCAAAGTGGTAACATCTCCCTGGAGACAAGTAGGTAGCAGACCCCCTACCAGAAATATTACACTGTGCACTTTTTAATCTAAAGCATTATTTATCAAGCTAACAAGTGTCAAGTCAGTGTTTTTCTTTCAGTTACCTAATGACTGTATAATAATTCTTTTAAAAAACACAGCATAATAATAATATGCACCAACAATGGCTATATCACCAAAGTAAATGCATAATGAATACCCACATAGATTGAAATATTCCCATTTAGTTCACTTTATTTTGATTTTGGTCCCATTTTAATATCTCCTAATATATCTTTTTAATCAACTTGTATAGAGCACTGAATCATTATTATATTTTTTGTTTGCATACACTACTACTACTCTTTCTATAGTTCCTCAAAAACACAGATATTCCTCATGTTTCTGTGACACTTGTAGATACTTGACACAGAGAGAAAGGTGAGACTGAAGAATGTGCAGTGAAAGGAAATCTGAATTGTGTAACAGATTTCCCTGAACACTTTGCCTGAACATGCTCCAACGACAGCTCCCAAAAACGTACAGAATTTCAAAAGTGCCACAGGCCTGGTAAAACACTCCTCCATAAACAACATGTCTAAGTGACTCATTATGTTTTATATGTACCACTAACGCGTCTATTGAAAGAGCAGCTTTTCAACTTGATAAATGGGTAAAGAGAAGTGATGTTCCTACAAATCTAATGTTGTAAACCACATGGCACTGAAGGCTGTTCCATGAATAAATTGATGCTATGCATTTAACTCTTTGCACATTGTTGCAAAATTCAACATTTTATTGCACTGGAAAACATATGTTCTTAGTCTGAGTGGGCTTGCATCTCCACTGACTCTTGTCCTGAATTTGGGCCTCTTCCTGCTTGTTTCCATGGAAATGTTAATTTGGCTATAATCTTCCACAGTGTGGCATAAAACTTCAAACTATCTCCATGCAGAATGTTCTGAAGTATGGTTTTAACTTTCTATTTCCACAGAATCAGCAGACAAGGTGCCATCTCCACTAAGTTAAAATCTTTTATTTTATCCTATAAAAATTTTGTTTTGTTTTAGGAGTTGACAGGGAAGGCTGTCTGAAGATTACCCTCTGAAGCCTGGAGAGAAGCCTCCTCAGATTCGCAGACGAGTGGGAGCTGCGTTCAAACTGGACGAGCTCAGCCTCCCTCAGAAAAATGGGGTACGTTCAAAAAGAGGGATGGATCCATATTTACTGTTATTTTGAGCTGATACCGATCCAATATCCAGTCCCATCCAATAATTGTCTTGATGTTGTGGCTGATAGCTGATATCTTGCCTCAGATCTGGAGACGGGGCCTGAGGTGCTGCACTGTCTTGACAGGTTAAACCCCAGAGGTGTTAAAATGGGAAAAATCTCCTTACAGGGACAATAAAGTCCAAATTAACCTTAACTCCAATACTATAAATTTCACAAACAAAACACAATGTACAAAAAAAAAACAAAATGTACAAAGCATATAATTTATAAGTAGAATCTGAATGGAAAACCTCTAAAATTTTAAACCTCATCATTAATAATATCGTGTAATATAGTGTATTATTTAACTTCCCGTGGAGGGTTAGGATTCTCCATGAGACAAACAGGTGACATCAATAATCCAGGTTATGTCTACGAAGAGGCCACCAAATAAAAGTTACATAGTGCACCTTTAGTTTTTGATGGGACTAAAGTGATTGAAGCATGGCCTGATTTGAGTGGACACTTAACACAATGTGACATCTCAAGGCCCTGTACTAAAAACATACATTATTTAATTTAATTTCCAGGATTCAGACTTGAGCTCGGTGGATGCAGAGCTGGCTTTGCAGATGAAGATATACGAAGCAGCGCGGCGTCTCTGCGATGAAGAGGGCCTGAGTAAAGCTGTGAAGAAGAGCAGAATTCAGCAGTGCAAACGAGAGGAGCAGAAACTCAAACAGCTCCAAGAAAAGGCCTTTAAACTGAGACTGGAGCGAGGACGGACGTCACCTCTGCCCGCATTCAACATCACTCATCCAGGTAATGACAGCAGTAATGACACAATATATTTTCAGATCGACAAAATTCAAAACAACCACAGTTACAGGGATTAAAGGCATGCTATGTAACTTTGTTGGTGGTGGGACGCCTCCGCTTTATTGCATTGCGTGGCTTATTCCATCAAACCTGTTGAAAGATATGTTACTATGAGGTGTAGAATTGTCTGAGTAGGTGAGTTTTGAGTCTTGATTGAACTGGTATGTTGGACTGTAAGATTAATTACAATAAAATAAATGAATAATTGGTAAATCATATCATCTTTTCATCTGGTCACACTGCATAAACCTAAACATGTTTTGAAATGTTAAACAGTTTGCAGTGATCCAAACTTATTCCTCACTTACCAGTGCATTCTAATTATTCACTGCAATGAGTTTATAAGAGCGTTTTTGTTTTCGGAGTTTGCCGTCACTAATGATAACAACTACTACAATGCTAACACAAACCTCGTGGTGCTCGGATAATAACACGCTTTATAATTAGATGCTAACAGTACACAGTAGTAGTAATTTAACCTCAAGAGCTGCTAATACAAAATATCTGTAATGGGCCCAGTCAAATTTGGCTCACATACATGGGAAAAAAATCTGGTACAGCCACTTTAATGCTTAATGACGTGCTTAAATGTGCACTACAAACTGACTCCTGATTTTAAAACCTGTTTCAAAGTTTCCAAATCACAGTACAAATAATAATATTAAGATTAAGAACACAGAATCAGTTAAATTGTATAAAACTTAATTGACGTAATTGCTTTTTTTTGTTTTCCTGTCCTGACTGAAAGATCCACATCTATCTCTCACAGAAATGTCTGAAGTCTTCTCTGAAACTCATCATTTCCTCATAGGTGTTCATTGACGTGTGCCGATCGTGCAGCAGCCTGTTTAGTGTAGTTACCTGTCCTTTTGTACCTCACCTGTTCAGACAATACTACACCTCAGAGTCATAGTTACTAAATCTTTTTCCATTGACCTAAAATTTGCTGGTTCAGTCGCTGCTTCCTCTAGTCTACTGCATGCATTATTGTGTTCTTGAGCAAGACACTTCCCCCTACCCTGCTTCCTGTGTCTGTAGTAGACCTGTCACCATAATTACTATATCGAGTAATCCTTGCCTTGCCCAATCGTTCTATATATTAAAGATGGAACAATAATTTTTGGATGTCAATATTTATTGTGGGTACTTTTTCTGTGTACTAGCTGGAATAAATAACTTCTATGGCTCATTAGTGAGATAGATTACTGAATTAATGGCTTAATTCTGCTGTTTATTTTTATTGTGTTTTTTTATACATATTGTACATGTCAATTTTTTTTTTATGTTTTGGGGGTAATCCTGGTTTATTGTGGCATAAATTAAATTCAGTATTATCATTCATCATCTGTTCTTATCGTGAGAGGCCTAGTCTGTAGTTGGTTGTTCCTTGTTGGTCAACCATGTATAAATAATTTTCATAATGTTTCTAATGTCTTTTTCAGATCAAGGAACTTCTGATGACAGCTCTTTGTCTGATTCTGTGGTACAAGATGAAGGTAAGGCTTCTGCACCAATGAGTCACCAAATAATCCTAAAATGAAAAAAATTCTTAAGAGCAGTATAAAAGCTACTAAAGACGCAAAGCTCTGTTTAATTGCATGCATTTATTCCCACTGTTCTGCCTCTTCTGGTGCCAATGGAGCATGCGTTGCTCTAGGGTGGAACGATTTTCAAAAAGATATCTAATTGAGATTTTTTTGACAAGCATTGTGGTTGTGGTTAGATTTGCGATTAATGGTTTAATAATAGGAATCTATTGATGCATCCAGAAAATCTGATAGATGGAATGAAATATTAACTGACAGACCAAAACAAGAATCCCATTTTAGAACATGTTTGTGCAGATCTAAACTACAGGGTTAGCAGTTCAGTTTTTATGTAGAATAAGACGGGAGATTTTGTGGGTTTTTACTTTAAAAAAAAAAACCTGCAGCATTTGCAATTTGCTAATAGCTGCTATTGAAATTGCAGTTTTGATTTGTTTGCGATTAATCTTGCAACCCTACTGTGCACATTTTCTCTTTATTTATTTAAGATGCATGTTAGATTGTGGAACACTGGTGAAAAGATCAGTGTTTATGTTGCTGCAAGTGCAAAGAATAGTATTTTTCCTCCATTCACTTTGAATTTTTAATCACAGCAGAATGGCAGACTTGTAAAGAGCGCTAATGTTGCTAAAATAAAAACCATGACTTAGGCTCTCTAACAAATATATTATTATTTTTTGCTGTATCTCTCACAATAACCCTAAAGCAATTATATCTTTAAATCAATCTTCTGTCTCTCCAGAAGTCGCCAGCCACTCTTCACGGCTCTTCCCCTCTGAGCCAGATGCCCTCCAACCACTGCCTCGATCCTCTCCATCCACTCCCTGCTCCTCACTGAACAGCACCCCCTATAAGGCCCCTGTGTCTCTACAGCTGACCCCGCGTCAGTCTCCACGCCCCAGTTTGGACTCCACTCTCAGTTTAAATTCCAGTCTGGCTCTGGACGACCCCCCTCCCATCGAACACTCACCCTGGTCAGAGTCTAACCTGGATCAGCCCCTCGATCCCAAGAAGAAGTCACGTTCTTCCAGCAAGAAAAGGTACAGACAGAACACATTTTATCTCAAAATCTTTTTATTACATTTATTTAATTATTTGATTTAGGCCAGTACATATTAATCAATGTGTCAGCAAGCAGTTTGAGTAAGATGACATCACACACATTACTTGAAATTACAAGACATTAAACCAAAACAGACAACAATCAAATGACATACACCTGAGATATTACAAAGAAAATCAAAACAGAAATTATTAAAAGCACCATGAAGGAAGTTAAAAGAGCACACCATCATCTATGAGTGCATTTACTTTTAAAGGCTGAGTAGTTGTCCAATATAAAGCATCTGTAATGTCAAAATTTTGGGATATTGATTTGTACTCTTGGCAAGACACAAGACAAGAGAACAAAATGAAAACTGTTTTACCTTTATGTTTGTGGTTCATATTAGTACATTTTATTAAACTTTTTTAAACATAATAAATTGATTATATTGTAGTTGTGGTTTTGGAGATTTGCTAAATTAGAATGCCAAGTATATCATCTATAATCAAACTATCAAGAAAAAAGAGACCAAAAGAGACTATAAACAAACAAATATAGATATAGATTTTTTGTCATTTGTCATATTGCTAAGATCCTAATCATAATTACAATTATTGCTTCAATCAAACTGTGTCCTAAATTACCTTAAGTAATAATAATACCTTAAGTACTATTCAGTACAGCCCTTGTTATTAGAATGGTTATGCCACAGTGCCATCTACTGCCTCCTTCTTGTTCCTGCAACCTAACCCACTAATACTCTATTCATGGGTTCCAGCTTCCTTAATGTATATTCTTCCCTTCTGTCTTCCTCACCGCAGTACCCCTGTGAAGGAGGTGTTGCCCCCCCTAGAGGAGTGTCTGGCTCAGTGCACTCTGAACTCGCAGCTGCCCCACCTCAAACTGACACGCTCCCAGTCCAACAGCACCCCCTCCACCCCAGAAATGAGGGTTCACCGACAACTCTCACTCAGGTATGTTTGCCTCCTCGTGTAAAGCATCTATGGCTATCTTGAAAACCATTATCCAAGTGTTGTAGTATTATTAATTGCTGTATTATTAATCCTTGACAAGCTAGGATACCGTTCCAAAACTTGTTTTCAATGTTAAATATGCATATCTCTAAAATATTGATATGTATAAATTCTGCAATGGCAACACACAGCATTCTCGGTTTGTGAGGTTGGCTCTAAAAATCTGGCAACCCTGGTCTTAACCTCAGCATAACTGTGTTGCAACAATGTTGTATCACATCTATCACAAAAGTATCAATTATAATCATTCTTTTGTCATTTTTACAGGTTATCTGGCCCTGAATCTCACTACAACCATGAGAAAGAGCGCGGGCGAACCAGGAGTACTCGTAGACGTCTCACCGAATATTCAATCACTTATAACGAACCTGCTCCTGTTCCGGCTCCGTCTCCTGCTTCACTGAAAACCTCCCAGAGCTACAGTAACCATGCGGGCTCTGAGGACAGCAACTCTGAACACTCCTACTCCTCCTATAACAGCTCGCCTTGTCATGAATCTCCTAGCGATTTACCCAAACAGTATCACTCTGTCTATTCCAACGGAAGCTACCAACCTCAAATCTTCCCCCACATTAGCTACCATCACAATACAAAACCACAGTCTTCCCCCAAAGTGTATTATGAAGAGATGGTCTATCCAGCAGAAATGGACATGGGGAGAAGTTATTACGCCCAAGCCCCACATTCAAACAGATATGAATATTTGTACAAAGAGGCACCCGTACAGCAATACCAAAGAGTACAGAGGACTCCAGAGATTAGACTGGTCCCGCCGCAGCCGCATTGGGAGCAACATCATAGTCCGAATTACAGGGCGGGAGTTTTGCCCAAGCAAGTGGTGAACGAGCAGCTAAAGTCATGGCACAGACGTAGCAGTCAGCTTAAATCGCCCAGGTCTCGCTCGCTCGACAGACAGGGGGCAGTACGGTTCAAAAACACGCAGTCACCGATGGCAAGAGAGGCGACTGTGTACCAAACACCCAAGTATCAAGAACAGGTAAGATCACCACTTAAATTGAAATAAACGTGGGACAAGTTGTGAAATATGGAGGAATATGGAGGAATATGGATGGAAATGTATGCTTATAGATAATGATCTTTGTAAAACCTTATTATAATTCAGTTTTTATCATTACACAAAGAGAGGGTTTACAATATGTTACAAACTAGAAAGTAAAAATGTCCAAATTGTGTTAATTTTATATATTAATCACAAACAAATAAAAAGGTTGCTATTATAAAACATAATTTTCAACAATATATGCTTTCTTGTGTAATAAAACACCTAACTCCGTAGTTTGGACCTCTACAAACATGTCCTCAGTGCTACATAACAATCATGGATTTTCAACCAGGAAATAAACTTTTTAACCTAAAAAATTGCCAAACAGATAAATGGGTGTGAATGTTTTTGCCAAAATCTTAAATATTATGATCTTTCTCTTAAATGTGATTTGGTGCACTAATAGTTGTTTTGCTTGTTGTTACAGGTAATTCAAAGAAGACCTCAGCTAACTTTAGACGACACTTCTGGACACTGGATGGTAGACGATGGCACTCACTACATCAGCCAAGTTTAACATTGAGAAAACTCTTTAAAAAAAACTCCTTTTGTTACACTTTTAAACACTTGGACTTGGACTGCCTCATCCTCCTGTGTTTGGGGACATTTTGAACTTTAAAATTTCAAATTCAACAACACTACCACTGCTGATGTTTACCAAAGGTTCGGTTGACCACAATGTTGCTGTTTTTGTCCATATATTTTGTCTAAATCATAAAATCAAAATATAATTATGTTTATTAAAGAAACAGGGTAATTATGTGTAGAACAATCAATTTGACATGTTTTTGAATACATGCAAATCACTGGGGGAATAGGGTTGGGAAGCACAGGGTACCTCATGATTAGATATGGTATGTGATACGTGTCTGGAGATACAGCTAATACAATATTTGAGAATCTATACATCATTGCAGCATTGCTAAGTAAACTATTTCAATATATGATTTTGTTAGAGCCCTCATGTGAAAGTTGAACATTTTTAAGGTAAAAGTTGCACTAAATAACTGTTGTGGTGCTTGTTTTCAAGAATTTCCCATAGTATAGCATTAAACCTATCTAGCTTCAGTCTGTTCAGATATATATGACATATAATGGGAATGAGATGGAGATTCATGGAGATAGCTTTAATGCTGTAGTGTGGAGCATTCTGGGCAAAGCAACAGCATATTCACAGATATGCAGGTGATAGACGCGTCACTCGAAAAGTTACATAATGTGCCTTTAATATTTGTTTACATTCATGAATCCGTACAAACCATCTTACAGGATACAATTTTACAACTGCTAACATCTGTTACAAGATCTTACATTTGAAACAGAAAGTGCAAATTAACTAAGGTGCCACAGAATTGACTGTTTCAACTTGACAAAAGCTTACAATGCCTTTTGTCACTACATTTTCTGATTATGTTTGTTGTATGAAGGACATAATGTGTAAAATATTGTAATCATCTTTGGTACATTTTAGATGACTCTGAACCACTAGAAACTTAGCTGCTTGAATCTCATATTATGTACTAAACTGAATTAACTTGAAACATGTATTGGTCTAATCATTTATTTCAGATAGAGATAACTTACCAAATTAACCTAAAATTAGCAAAAAAGCAATGTTAAAATGCTTGGCAGCTAATACAAGTGTTATAACTAAACTGTCATTGAAAAGTAAAATAAAATAAAATTGTTGTGTGCACTGATGCATTAACACTAGACAACCACTAATATGTTTTGGGCCAAAATACTATGATTTTCCTGTGATAAAAAAGTATAAATTGTTTTGTAGTCACTGCCATTATTTTTGGTCATGTATTACGTTTGATGGTACCTCCTTATAATGAGATATAGCCACTACTTCTTGTGCCTATTTATTGTGGAAAACTGTGGAAGCCAAGGATGAATTAAAACAAAAACAAAAAAAATGAAAAATTGTTCCACAATCCTGTCACCATCTGTGCATTTTTACTGTCTGTATTTTTGTATTTATCATTTTGGTAGTTCTATTTGTTTACTCACGTTTAAGGTGACTCCTGTGGAAGTAAATAAAATATATGTTTGCATAAAAATTCAAGTGTTTTTTGTTTTGTTTTTTTTGTTTGTTTTCATTTGCCTTTTTTAAAAGGATATTGGCATTTGAAAGTCACAGTTTCAAATTTCAGTTTCTTATTGCTCTCTTTGTGATTACTGAGTATAGCTTTTTGCACACTTTGTCCCGTTCAGTGTAACAAACCGATATGTTATAGAGTATTACATTTTTGAAACACAATAATGGAGATGTAGTGATTTTTAAAAAGAACATGCTGATCTGTTTTTATTACAAATAGTCCAAATTACTACTTGAATTTCATTATGTAAAGCTTGGAAATTAATTTTAAACATAAGATCTTTAATTAAAGGTGCACTATATTACTTTCTTAAATGTATCTATATCCATGAGGGTGGTACAGTGGCGCCTTCATGACAAGTTACAAGATAGATTTGTGGAAAGTCTACCCGCTCACTCTTTGCAGTAAGAATGTTTGTTTTTCAACTGTAATTGAACACATTCATAATAGTTATTAATGCCGTATTGTGAAGAAATACTCTACACGAGACATAGGTATAGGTATAACTTTTAGATTGGGTCACTTTTTTTAATTTGTGGTATGAGTACTATACTAAGTTATTTACATTCTTGTAGTTTGATAATCTCTATCATTTTTATTTTGAAATGTCTCACTTGCGGGCTTTTATTTTGACACCAACCTCCTTTTACGGAAGACCTGTCTGTTTCCGGTGTAGCTAGTGTTTCTAATCGATAAATAATTTACCTTCCGAGTCCAGAGCGTACCTTTTGTCAGGTAATTCAACCCCGTCTCTCTCTTACACGCAGGTGTCAGGCTGCTCTCTGATATAAGGTATGCGATGGCGTGTTTTTCCCTCACTTTTCTCATAAAAATAGCTCAAAGATGATTAAAAAATACTGTCGCGGATTTGGTAGCTCTGTTAGCTTGCCAGCGCTAGCAGTACATACATAAGCGTTCTGTTACGAGTTTAATGTCAAGATGTGTGTGTTCATTGTTGTGCCTTGGATAGATTTATGACAAGACGACAGATCTGAGTAAAAATATTGTAATTACCTGTTTCCGTTCATAATTTTCGCGGAATTTGTGGTATTTTTAGTGAAAGTAGTACGTGTCATCACTGGTTTGACCGCTTTGAGTGAAACCATCGGAACGGTTCGTTAACTATTATATTATTATTATTGCAACTTTGATTTTATCTTATTCGTTTTTGTGAGCTATATCTTTGTCACTGGCTATATAATCATGACATTACTCGTCTAAACGGGTTTTATAGTGTTTACATCTATCCTTGTCTTTCTTTATGAGTCATACTTTGACTTTTAATGACAAGTGTTTGTGTTGAGACCAGCGTGGCATATGCTTTTGTGTTTTTTATTATTTAACTTTTATTTTACCAGGCAAAACATTAACAACACAGTCTTGTGTGTCCTGGGCATTTATAATATAGTATTATTATAGTATTAT